CTAAATATTTATTAAGCCTACAGTATACTTTTAGCCTACAGCATTTTATTTTATTCTTATTTTTTATCTTACTTTTTCAATACCTATATTATTTATATATAATTTTCTTGTGTTTGTATTCTTTAATAATTGCACTGTCCATGGAGCGGACCTGACTTACATTTCATTGCTGGTCATATATTCCCTATATAACCATGTATGTGACAAATAAAAAATCTTGAATCTTGAATCTTGAAGTGAATTCGACATCACAATCACAATTATGAAGCATTAAAAATCAACACTTATTTTGAGATTTGCTATAGATTACATTTAATAGTGTTATTAATTTAACGCTTTTGAAATGTTAAACATTAAAAAAGTGAGTGTTTGATGACAGCAAAGGTAAATGTAAAAATAGAGGAAATTAGCATGAACATTTGAAATATCCAAATATCAACAGATACGAGCTAATATATTAAAAAATATTGGCTGATAACCAAAATGGCTCTATTATATCATATATCCCTAAAACTCAATACTATTATATACAATTACATTCATCTATGTTAATACCCATATTGAGTGAGTATTCCTAATTTGATCCCAGTGCTCTACACTCACTTCTGTGCCAGCGTGACCAGGAACTTCACACACTGATAGCAGCGACTGCTGTCCACATTGTTGCTCTGATGCATCAAAGCTGTGAAAGAACGAGAATCACATATTAATCACAAATTAACTGAATCTTACAAACACTCACACTGATAGAGCCAAATTATATAGTTCTTACCCAAAAGGCCCTTTTCAGATTCAAATGCATATTTGAGCCTCTGAGACTGCAGAGCGTCCTCTATCATCTGACAGGTCAAAGGAAGAGTGGCGTTACATGATTATAAACTATAACAATAAACTGTTTTCAAGACAGCACATGGCCATCACTCACCAGGATCTCTAGGAGCATCTGAAAAACGTTCTTCAGTTCGTGAGGAGGAGCCGTTTCCAGAGGGCTCTACAAGTCACATGAACATGTCATAAGAAAGATTGTTGTAAGTTTATTTTTACACAAACAAAGGCAGGGATCAACTCAACAACTATTTTTCTGCTGAGATTACTTTGGGTTGTATATTTGTATTTTTGTATATGACATTTTTTCACTTTACACAATATACATACAAACTATATATTATAAATAAGTGTACAATAAAATAATAAATCAATAATTATAAATATAAATAAATAACATTTAAATTATTAATAACAAAGTATTAATGCATTTTATTTATTTTTATTAGAATTTAAAATGTCAGGGTACCAACCTTGAGTATGTGTAGGACTCCTAGTGAGAAAGGTTCATTACAGAATGAACAATATGTGATCATCTCTATGAGAAACGACAATGGGCCGGACAATTCACGCATGGCAAACATCACCTGAAAGACATGTGACTCAGTCAGTAGTGTGCAATACAGACAGACAGACAGAGACAGAAGAGAGAGAATAAGAGGCAGCATTACCTCCATGAGATACACCTGCCCTTCCGCTTTGAAGAGCAGCGTGTTGATGTCTGGATGTAGAGGCAGGAGGGGTGAAGATGGAGCCACCAGTCCTGAGGAAGCGTGCTTGAACACTCCTTGAGCTGAACACAGGACAACAGCATTCACATCTCACCGTTACTTCACTCACACAGAGACCCATTAATATCTAAATATACAGAAGACTGCACTAATAAATGAATGTTTTATTCAACTTTGTTGATTATATTTAAATGTATCATTTTTTTAATGTAAACTATCATTCAAATATTTGGGGTCAGTACGATTTTTTTTAAATCACTAAGGCTGCATTTATTTGATAAAAAAAATACAGTAGAAACAATAATGTGAAATATTATTAGAATTTAAAATAACTTGCATCATGTGTCACATGATCCTTCAGAATTCATTCTAATATGCTGATTTGCTGCTCAAGAAACATTCCTGCTCATTATCAATACTGAAAACAAATGTGCTGCTTAATATTTTTGTTGAAATCGTGATACATTTTTATTTCAGTATTCTTTTATGAATATATAGTTCAAAAGAGCAGCATTTGTTTGAAAGATAAATCAACATTCTAAATGTTTTACTGTCACTTTTGATCAAATTAATACATCCTTTCTGAATAAAAGTATTAATTTCTTTCACCCAAAAAAAACCCATATCAATTATAAAATGTATTAAAAAGTATTATCATTTTTCCTCATTGTTGTCATTGTTCTGTGAAAAAGCAAAAAAACTAAAATGTGTAAAAAAAAAAAAAAAAAAAAAAAAGTATTTTCTTTATAGTACACATTAGTATGGAAATTTTTTTGCAAACTACAATTTCCATTTTTTTGTTTACTTTTACATTTTTATGCCCTCATAATAGTTTTCATTAATGATAATAACTTTGGTGTGTGTTCTGAAATCGTGTGTTCTTACCCTCCATCCTCTGACACGTGAGGTCTGTGTGCAGCACGATCAGGGCCAGAGTGTTGTGAAGATGCAGGAACTCTCGAGCCTGTGCTGAATTCCAGCGCCGGTGCTGAAACACAAAACCAGCAGAACATCAAACAGTGTAGGTCAACATGTGCACCTAAAGGGACAGTTCACCCAAAAATTAAAGTTCTGTTATCATTTACACACCCTCATGTTACACACCCTCCAAACCTGTATGACTGACTTAGGAAGATATTTTGAAGAATGTTGGTAACAGTCTTGGTTCCCATTGACTTTCATTGTATTTTTGTCCATACAATGGAAATCCAAGGAACGGAAACTATTTGGTTACCAACATCCTTCAAAATATCTTCTATTGTGTTCCACAGACAAACTCATACAGGTTTGGAAGGACATGAGGCTGAGTAAATGGTGACCAAATTTTCATTCTTGGGTGGACTACCTCTTTAAGCAAGCAGTAAACCTCAATATTTAAAAGCCGCAGAACACTGCAGTACCTGGTTGTTTTGCCGGTTGGGTCCCAGAAGGAAGACAAGCATCCGACGATAAGCAGAATGTTTTAGCAGCAGCTGACACGGCCCACAGCCCTAAAACAAATCATCAGTGAATAACTTACATTTGTTCCATAGGTTCCTATGTGTGGCTTCAGAAGACAGAATATCAGTTGTATGGGCCACTTTTATGGTACTTGTTTTGTTTTTTTTGGAGCTTACTATATATTTTCTTAATGGACATCAGTTAGTGACATCATTGTTCTCACCCTCTGAGCAAAGTTACTGAAGAGGCTGAAGTACTGAGAGCAGTTCTTGCAGTTATCCAGGACGTCCTTATCCAATAAAGAGAGTAGCATGTCCAGAAGACAGTCCAACCCAGCATCCTGGAAGTACAAAGCGCTCTCCAGTGTCTTCTCCAGGATGGTGGCCACCACGACACGGACCTCCCGCACACTGCATTCCAACAGACAGATCCTACAGAGAGAGAAAAACATGTCCTTCATGAGGTTCACCTATTAACAATGTTAATTCAGTTGATTTTCAACCAGTTCTTGCATGAACATGTGGTAGGAGACGCTGGATGTTGGCGTATCTGAGCTGGTTGGGAGGTCTGTGGAAACTTTCCCTGCACAGCCAGCTCTATCCAGGGCGAAAATGTTTATGAAATTACGGCTCCAGGTCTCTATTGATAAGGGAAACTATTTGTTTTGTTGGAAGTGTGTCAGAGCTGGATCATAAAACCATCGGGAACATTCCCTGGCTTCTGCTGAGGTGTTGCATGATAATCGGGATCATGCCCCCCTAAAATGCTAAACTGAGCATCCAATCAGAGTTCTCAGTCGCGCCGTCGCCGATTCAACATGCTGAATTGGGCAAACTGCCGCCGACGTGAGCCCGACGAGAGCCGATGAGTGGAACACACCAAACAAACTAGCCCGACAGATGCTCACCGACGGCGGCTGATGGCCGACCATTATTTCATGGTAACAATATATATAATGATATAGTTATTTTTTCCTTTAAACAAGGTCTTTATACCTTTTTTGTTTTTTTGATACCATATAAATTTCATAATTCTTGTCACCAGGGTCAAAATCAAAAAACTAATACTAGCCTAAATTAAAAAAAATTGAAAAATCAATAAAATAAAAACTCAAGCTCACTGAAGACAAGACAGTCTGCAATTACATAAGAATAAGAAACTAATTACAAACATTAGGACAAAAAATAACTGCAGTAGAACAAATAAATAAGAAATGCTACATACATTGTATAATTAAATGTATAAAAACACTGCATATTCTTCACTGTGTAAATTAAATATATATTTCTTCTTATTAAAGTTACAAAAGTGACTTAGTCAAGAGCAGTGAGAGATTTTCTCTCTTCTGTTGGTTGATTAATATGAAAGATAGACAGCAGGAATATTAGACTGCTGTCACTTTAAGAGCTACCCAGTTAATCGTGTCTACAGGTATATCACCTGCCCTTAATAGATATAAAGCTGTATAGAGATATATGTGTTTCATGTCTGTGTGCCAATAGTCTGGTTAGTTTTACTATTTACTAGCCAGTGGCGATTTTATTGCCAATGTGTGCATAGAGGGTTGGATGTGATGCTCACTTGATTAGCTCCCGCCCTTCAGGTGCCACCAGGTACTGGACCATCCATTGACACGCCTCGCTACTCTTGGACAACAAAACCTCCACGGTAGCAATCCACTCCTCTGTGTCCACCCTGAGAGAGAAGACGTCAGAGTTCCCACAATGATTAAATAAACCGATACAACTGGGAGACTCGTTTAATGAGATATTGACTGAAAAAAGGTCATTTTTATTGTTTGAATTTTTTTAATTAAGATTTTGCTAATATTTTATGTACTTTCATAGTGCATTACAAATGAAGTTTATTTTAAATGATCAATTCTAATTAATAAATAAATGTTTAAAAAAAACATAATAATAAAATTAAATATTTTTTAAATAAAAAAAAAAGAAAAAATTAAATTAAATATAGTCTTTTTTTTCCACCACTAGTTCTTGTCTTTGTAATAGTTTAACAATAATAACACTGTGTGAACAGGCCTTGAGTTTAAGTATTGTAAACAAAAACATCATCCCACCTGAGTTTCTTTTTGGTACGCAGGTATGTGTGGAAGAGGAACTGGACGGCCAGCTGCAGGCTGGTTTTGGCCATGGCCTGATATGATGGATGCTTTAACTTTGTCTGAAAAACAGTATAAAGCTGAAATTTGAGTACAGGAGATATAGAGCACTTATAAAAGAGGCTGAATGCTCAGAGCTTACCGCGTTGACAGAAGCCAGAGACAGTGTGAAGTTGAAGTAATCACTGTTGTAAACGTCTCTGTTCTTCATGAACTTCAGATTTTCATCTCTCACCATCTACAGATCCAAAAATGTCAATTTTTGTCAACATTTTGAGAAAGCAACAAAATGTCTGAAACACTATGAATAATATAAGTATAGTTACAGTATAGTATGAATGCTGTCAGACCTGGAACATTTCTTTTAGTCACATTAGAATTGCAATGCATGAAAAGGCCTTAAAATCGCTACCTGATAGATCCTAGCAGGCATCTTTTCCACAAACAGACCCTTCTTCTCTCCTTTCTTGACCAAGCGTGTGAGCAGGGTGAGGCGGTCATTGTTGGCCCTGGGTGGCCGTGGGGAGGATTGGGGTGAGATCTCCGGAGATGACGGGGCTGACCTGAAGTGAAGGATTAGGAACATTAATAAGTGTATCCATATTCAAACGTTCATGCAGGAAGTAAAACGCTAACTCACAAAGAGAGATCCTCTGCCTCCTGTCTCATGATGCTGACTCGACTCTTTTTGGGCAGAACGGGGGAGTTCTGGTCACTGATGCGCTGGTAGAACAGCATATAGGCATTCCAGTAGCGCCGCCGCACATCCGGGTAGGGGTTAGCTATAGCATGTGAATACAGTGGCAAGATGTTAATATAATATAAACATGAGTGATAATGAAAATGACAATGTGATATTTAATCCATGTAAGACTAAGTTAAGATAAAAATACTGGTGTATTTTACATATTAGTACAAATAAATAAATAAATAAACAAACAAAAAAAAATAAAATAAAATAAAATAAACATATAAATAGGCCTCAGTTTGAGTTCAGGTAAAAGTCAAATTATTATTTTACTGACTTGGTGCTGAAGTAATTTATATGCATTTAAAGAAATATTAATAACTTACATTGGTCATAAACTTTGGGTCTGTACTCTCCTCCAAAACACTCATACTCCAGAGTCTCATCGTTCATGTCAAACTCTTCCACAACATTGTCATTAAACTTATACCAGCGTCCTCGTGAACTACCCCTAAAAGAAAATAAAGCATTGAAAAATGCATATTACAGACATTGCTTAGCTCTGCTTGATCACCCAAACATTCCTTCATTCCCTCAAAAAATGCACCAGTTTAAAGCACCATCATGCTGCCAAGCATCTGGGACAGTTTAAGGCTCTCATAAAAACACTCTTGCCAAAAACAGAAGCACGGCCCCCAGAGACCCATAAATACACATACATACATACACACAGAGGGGCAAAAGACCTCTCAGAAACATGTTTCAGATATTACGTTTGCTCAAGTATGTCCTATATATAGAGTGTGCATTATGGAAATAGACTCTGCAGCAGGGGCGTTTCCTCCGAGGAGGCAAGGGAGGCAGTGTCTCCTCAAAACATTTGAGGAGAAAATAATCGATATTAAAAAAATGAAACAACGCAAACATTACTAGTAAATATGACATTAAAAGTATAAAACTCATTTGTTTTTATAAAGTAACCCTGTCCAACAGCGACACCCGCAGGTAAAGTTACAGCGGAGGCTTGCCTCCCTTCAGTCCATAGACTTACAGAGACCCCTTAGCATGCGGTGACCTTTCTGGGTTGTAATTGAGATGAATGGGGGAAAGTCACATGAGAGGAGGCAATGCCTACATCGCGCTATAATTGGATATGATCAGTTATGATTGAATGTGATTGGTTCGTGTGATAAATCCCGCCTCTTGTTTTTGTGTGAGCTCTCGGCCTGAATGAAGAAAATGATGGCATTATTGACAAAATATTAAGTAAACAACTCACCCGCTTAGATACCACTGCTTTGTGTCACGTCAAAATAAAACTTGAAATGGCCTGAAAACGTGATGACCGTGTGAGTTAGGCTGCGTTTACACTGGAACAAAAAATCCGATCTTTCACTCACATCTGACACAGATCGGAATTTGTTACACACGTGTAAACACAAAAACCCGCATGAGATCCGATTTTTTTGCATCCGATCTGAGCCACTTCCAAATGTGGATTTTAATCGGATACACATCTGATATCTGGACATCCGACCTACGTCTAAACACACATATCCGATTCTCCACAGAACTCCCAATGCGAGGGCGACACGTTTGCTCATACAGATTTTTAATGGCGTTTTAATGCCGGCATGCTGTATGCGCTCGCATTTTATTGAGATGGAAACTTTTTATAGGTAAGAAAAATTGCACAATCAGGAGCTGGTTTTCAACCCCCGCCCCGTGAATTTTGAAAATACAACAGCTAAAAGCTACATATATTTCTCAGCAATGAGGTGATAACTTAGCAGTTTTTGTAATTAAACCGACAAGCTTGTTTGCAATGCTTCACAATCGCTCGCTCGCACGTGGGTGCATCCGTTCGTTCGTTCGTTCTCTCTCTCTCTCCTTAATTCGAATTAATTTCAAATGACCCGAAAATAAGTTGACTATTAAAAAGAACAGCTGCGCATCAGTTCACTATTAAAAAACGGAGTGTCTATTTCACTAAGTGCAAATAGGCCGCCTTGATGGTAGAAGCTATTTACACTAACTCCACCCATCAATGTAAGGTTACTACAAAAGACGATTGCTAATTAACAAGTTCAGTGGTGTATAGTAAAGCGCGTGCCGAAGTCCTTTTTGATACGATCGACCCGGGTTCGATTCCACCCTTTACCGAACTTTTTTTTCTCCATTTTCAAATCGCATATCACATCGGGTAGGTGTAGGGAGGGCTTATATTGTCTTAATACGGTGGCATCCATTTAATAAATAGAATTAAAATTATAATTTACACTCAATATGTTATTATTGCATACTGTCTTATAATGTTCTACAATACTAAGGTGCAGAATATTGTTCAAATTGTTACTGCCTTTATTATTTTGGAATAAATGTAAAAATGCATAAAAACACTATGAAATGTAGAATTATTATTTAAAATATTAAATGAAATAAAAATAATGTTAATAAAATACAAAATATAATTATTTTTGTTCTCTCTTATGTAATGTTTATTTAACCAAGAAAATGCGAAAACATTAAGTGTAACAGGGACATGAATATATATATATATATACTGTATATAACTGCCTCCTCATTTTAAAACACTACCGCATGCCACTGCTCTGCAGAACTTCATAAACGTATTGTTCAACCACAAGCCTTCTGGAATGTTTTAACAGAAGCTTTATGTAACATTTTAATGCATGTCATAATCTCTTACTACTTTTCATACTTTAGTGATTTGTTCCTTAGTAATAAACTCAGAATTATTTCCTTAACGTTTGTGTAGATCAGTGATTCCAAACTTTTGTCAGCCAAACCCCTTTGACCTAAAATGTTTATTTGAAGTACCACCTAAGAAGTTAGGATTTCAATAATTGAACAACATACGTGTTTACAGTTCAACGTGTTTACAGTTCTCTGATGTAGGTTAACAGTCACATGACATGGAGAAAAACAAAATGTTTAATCTTTTTTATTAAATGTTTCATTTTAAAATTATTTTAATCACGGCAACTTGGAATAGTTTTAGCTTGTTAATGGATATGACGATGTTAGTGTGTTTGGTCTTGGTGGATTATATCTGCCATACGCTCCTGCTGCCGCCGAGCAAATATGGACTTGCTAATGCCAATAGATATACAGATATGCGTTGTGAACGTAAAATCTGATGCAGCAAGAATAAAGACACATAAATCCCATAGCAGGTCTAGACAGGTGGAGCTGGGGATGTGGAGGGTTTCAGTGGTTTTTGAAGCAGCAGAGGCCAATCAACTTGTGCCATGCAGTAAATTATGTGATTAGTAGCAGACTGCACGTAAAGGACCTATCAGCCTAGAGTTTCATAACTAAACTAGATACAGCATTTATCAACTCACAAATCCCAGTTTGGAAAATCCTGGTGTGACTTGTAAGGCCTGATAAGAAGAGGTGTGCTACCATCTTCCAAGTCATCAAACTCTCTCCATTAACTTGGGACAGCAAGTAAACACCTAGCAACCACCCTGAAAACCCCACAAACACGTTACCAGACACTCTCTCTTGCCATCTCACCGGCGGTCTTTGATGAATGAGTAATAGTGTCCTGCGTGGGCCTGTCCGCTGTGGACCACCACTCCCACCAGTTCGTAGTTCTCAGAGATGGTGACCTTCTTCCGAGGTGATCCCCCGGATCCAGCCTCGCCCCCTCTCCCGTTCTCTCCATGATCTGCACTTGAATCCTGACGGGCCATTCCTGACACCGTGTACGGCTCCATGTTCAGCACCCAGGGGAACTAAAAGTGAACACAAGTTATTGAAGTATATGCAAATCAATTATATATTACAATTCAAAAGTTTGAGGTTGGTAAGATCTTATTTTTAAATTGATCAAAAGTAAGATTTTTGGTAAGTTACTAGTTGCAGGCCAACACTACATAACATGTGAACTGAAGCAGAGCTGATGCTGCATATAATCTTACTCTGATCTGCTCATCATATTTGATGGACCGGCCACTTTCCCAGTCAAAGCCAAATCGCATGAGGTGGATGACCAGCACGCTGGGCAGAGACTTTATACAGGTCCGCTTCACAGTGGTCCGCTGCAACACAGAATGTGTGAGTACAAAGTACAGCTGTATTTCCCTTCAGTTCTTTATGAATGAAAACACATCAGACTGTACCTTCTCTTTACATTTCTCGCAGTAATAAGCATTGCTGCCATCCAGGACTTCTCCTCTGACAAATTGATCAAGAGAGATCTCTAGACTCTGACAGGACGTCACCCCCAAGTTCAGAGCCATGAACGTCTCCTCACGCTCATACCTACAGAGCAAACCCAAAAACAAACTCAAGTGAATGTTATAAAGAAGTCATGGGTTTGGAATGATATTTGAGTGAGTAAACAATGAGCTGATCCTTTAAGGCTTACCTGTGTGGGCAGTCTTTGCATATCTTCTGATCAGAGAAAATGCCCTGGAATGTGTTCTTGAAGATCTGCTCTCGACTGATTTTCTATAAGGGTGAAAATGAGGAGAACTGAAAACACACTTCAGACTGTGTATGAGCACTTGAGTATGCAAGGGACTTCAGGTGAGCTGTACCTTTAGATGTTCATCAAGCTGATCCACCAGACTGGTGAAGAACTCATAAGCGTCCTGCTGTTCTCGCACGTATAATTCTTTATTCCACATCTTAAATATCTGCATCAAGACCAACCAAGTGATGACAACAATGAAGTACTTAATTTTCATTAATTGAAATAAAAAATAAACATTAACTTACATAAAATAAAATATCGAATATAAAAAAGCCAATATTTCTCATTTGTTTCAATTGTACTAAAATAGTACTAAAGCACTGCCGCAGAGGGACAGCAGGGTTTTAATGAGGCGCAGGTGTCCGGCCAGCAGGATGTTGTCTGCCTCGCTGGTCTCCAGCTCGTTGGTCCAAGTGGGCTCGAAATTATCAAGCCAGCTGATCTCGTCCTCCAGCATGGCCGCAGGACCGATCTGAAGCTGCTCCATTTCTGATGCTGAGAACATGAAACATATGAGGCTGAGCTTTTCTAAGGGAATCCAAAAATTGTTTTTAAATTGCACAGGACTAAAGCAAGTGACACTCTCATTTTTAACTTGCATAGAGGGAACAAAACAGGATTGAACAAATGGCTCAGTGAATTGTTCAGCTGACGTTAATAAAATATTGATAATCTCATATAAATATTGATCACTGAGCTTTTTATTTAATGCTCTTAAATAAAAAAAAAGGTCTTTTCTAGCAATAAACAAAAACGCAATGTTTTTTTTTACAGAAAATGTAAATAAATGTGTATATATACACAGTGTTAAAACATGCCTCTTTCCAACCTTTTTGGAATGTGTTGCAGCTGTCAAAAACAAAATTTGTTCATATTTACAAAATACATTTACGTTGGTCAGTGAAAACTTTGGAAATCTTTTCTTTGTACTTTTGTCAATTAAATAAAAGTTAAAGATAATGAACAAATCACAGATTCTTGATTTTATTGCATTTTACAAAACGTCCCAACTTCTCTGGAATCGGGGTTGTACATATAAAATCATACTGTAGGCAGAATGAGTAACAGGGCTGGAAATTTAGCCTTAAACCAAGCAATCATTCAATAGGGACTATCAAGTCTGGGACTAAGTGTTGATTAAGTAGTTGAAGAATAAAAAAAAAACCGGAACGGTCGAGAGAAGATATATATATAGTCTGCATTTTGTAACAATAACGTGGGTAACAGGGTTTAAAACTGATAATTGCAGTCAACACCAGAAAACTGAAGGGGACTCATTGTTTTTTCTGCCATGCTGTAGAAAGAATGTTGGTAACACTTTCTATGAAGCCCATATTTATAATACATTATAAGGGTATTCTTAAGGCATTATAATGAATGCATAATGCATTTTAAAAGACCTTATAATATGTTATATCATCTTATAAATAATCATAACAACAATTATAATACGTTATAATGCTTACGCATTTGTGGTTATAACGTTTAAGATTATGATTATTTATAACACACAATGAACACCATATTAAATCTACTTTTACATTTATAATGGGTTATATATCTTGACATTGTTTATTTAAGATCTGCACAGTATCTTACTACATCTTGTAAGAGGTTAGGTGTGGAGTGTTATTTGAGTGTTCCCTGTGAGGCTAATATTAATTTTGATATGAGCTACTTAATAATTTCAACTGAAAAAAATGCAATGTTTATATGTTAGGTTACATTTTAGTTTGATGGTCCCTTTAGTCTATTGACTATAAGCAACTTTGCAACTACATGTCAACTAACTCTCATTAAAGTATTAGTAGACTTAGGTCAAGGTTAGGGTAGGTAGAATGAGACATACTACTAATACTCCAATGACTGCTAGTTGACATGTAGTTGTAGAGTTACTTATCAACAGCTGTCTAAATGGTACCATCAAAATAATCAAACTGATATTACAGTAAAAATATTTCAAAGCAAATGTGTCATATTACACATTCATCTGACTTGATATCTGATCTTATGGCTGTTTGAGAAAAAAATATTATTATTATTATTATTATTACTATACTTATAAGTGGTCTTTAAATGCTTTAAGTAAAGTAGCATAATAAAGATGACGATATGAGACTTATAATACTTTATAACTATGAGAAATATAATCCATTGTCACTTAAGTGGATGCAACATGTTCACTGTGTTATAAATCATCATACTCTTAAAAGCTATAACCACAAATAAGTAAATATTATAATACATTAAAACTGTTCTTATGAATATTCATAAGATGATATAAAACATTATAAGTTTTTTTTATAATGCATTATGAATTCATTATAATGCCTTAAGAATACCTTTATAATGTATTATAAATATGGGCTTCATAGAAAGTGTTATCAGAATGTTTTAAAGAATGTTATAATTTTTTTTTGATAGGGAAACAGCAGGGCTGCAAGTAAACAAAAATGTGGGACAAAATGTTTTCGCAATTAAATTAGTTAACAATTACAATTAACTTTTACTACAATGAACTACAATTATTATAATCAAAATTATGGGATAACTGTGAATAATCAGAAAATACATATTGGGAGACCAAAGCATCTTATTCATGAAAACTGACATTTATATGATAAACTTCATTTGAAAATAAGGCAGAACACTCACTGGTCAGGTCATCCAGTAGTTGGCAACGCAGGTCAAAATACTCTGTGCATTGTGAAAGCAACCTAAAAACAAGGTCATTAGTTTAGCTTAGTAGATATTCAGAATTTCACAGCATTTCTAAAGTCTAGTTTTTTAATTATTTTGTGGGCCTGTTACAGTAAGAATTTAATTTAGGTCTCATTTGTCATTATACACTTAGAGAAATAAGATTTCTAAATGGTCTCCTAAGAGACAAAAAATCATGTGTTTAGTGTGTTGGACCTTTGGTTAACACCCCTCATGATGCTGGTAGGGGACCAGAGAGGAAGTTGGGCTGTCAGAACCACCTTCAGCAGGAAGAGGTTGGGCTTCTGGAGGTCAGGGTACGCAGAGGTGTCCGACTGACTGAGAGTGTACAGCTGATCACACGCCACCCGTCGGACCTGTGAACAGAGGAGCTTAGATGTTTGGACTCAGAAGTCATAGTTAAGAGACAAGTCTAATTTTGTCAGGACTACAGCACATACACTGACCTCGCCACTGGGCGACCCCAGAAGAATATCGATGATGAAATCATTCACAGAAGGCAGAGTGTAAAATGAAGCTTGAAAAAGAACAGGAAACAAAGCAAATGCGTAAGTGTTTAGATTTTTGCTGACTTTATTTCACATCCTAGTGTTTTCTTCTTACATAGCTGTTGGCAGCGTAGCTGAAGGCATGTGACGAGTAAAGAGAGCGCTTCTCGTGCAATAATAGTGTCTTTGATGGACACAAACAGCTGTTTGACGCATATCCCAGCCTGCAACGTGGTGACCTCTCCCTCACTGCCCGAGCTGCAGTTACTTCCTGCAACACACACGAGCACAAACATTTAGAGAGATGCATAAGTCCGACTAGAAGACAGACTATAGTATCGTTTAGAGTCTCACCTGTGCTGCTGACCCTGCTGCGGACACCCAGAGGAAGAAGCGAGTTGGTCGTCTCTCTGATTGGCTGGCTGCTGCCAACAAGGTCCAGTCGGCCTGCAGCTGCCGCCCAGGTGAGCCTCATGAAGCACGCCACTGTGGATTTGAAGTCTCCCACCTCCATTGTCTGAAATGACAAACCAGTGAAGTCAGATAGGGTTGGAAATAAGTCATTTAGTAAAGCATCCGATGCTTTCTCGCACCTGTATAGCGACACGGGCGGCTGGCATGATTTCTTCCACTCTGATGGAGGACCTGTCAGACATGGACACCTGCCTGTAGGAGGACTTCTCAGGAGTTCCACAGACGGAGAGCTGTCGGCCGCTCTGCCGCCCGGTGTTACGGAACGGTCGAGAGGACAGAGTGTCCAGACCTTCCTTGCTCAACTCCTCATCGAACATACTAGGCATAGCCTGCCCTACCAGCAGGAACCTGCAGGGGGAGACAAAAAGCATGTCTTTTAACAAAGGCTAAAGTCAAAAGTAGGGCTGGCTGATATGACCTAAAACTGAACAATTTACCTCGATTGTGATTATTGAACAATTAGGGATGTAATGATTCACTCAACCCACGATTCGATTCACGATTCGATTTTCTCACGATTTTGTTTAACAAAATGAGATCTGAATACATTATACAGTAAATGAAAATTTTATTAGGCTATTGCTGCACGTTTCTTTGTGAAACTGAAATATAACAAAACTAAATTGAAATTTAAAACAAACCCCAAATCAAATAAGTTACACAAATAAAAGAAATCTCTTCATATAAACAAAATAAGGCTTTGTCTGTGCTCTTTCCATTTAAAATTAGAGGCAACCACTGCATTTTAATCATGATCCAAACAAAGATGCTGCATACATTCAACATGAGCAGTTTTTAGTCTAAATTAGACTGTATAATTTAGAAATTTGAAGCAAAATTGGTCTGACTTTAGTTTTGTGAAACTATACTACATAAAACATATCTGAACTAGGGCTGTGTATCACCAGCAAAGTCACTGGTTTCACGATTCAATTCGATTACGATTATCATGTCAACGATTCGATTCAATTCGATTTCACGATGCATCACAATGCATCACGATTATATCAAATTTATTTTGTCAATTTTTATTAAATTATATAAGCAGGCTACTTTTTAAAATAATTATGTTAATTAATTAATTAATTATTGTTAAGAATTAAAAGTAAATATAGCTTCAAAACATACAAGCAAATATAAAGTAATGAAAAGACAATTACAAGTGATAAACATAAAGCACTTTCAGTATCTGGGAGGGCTTTAAGTATCAAAAGTTTACAGATAATCATAGTTATGGGTTGTTGTTTTTTCCACAGCATTATTGCCATTTGATTTTTACTGATGAGATCATAGACACTGGTAGCTTTAATAGACTGCATTCACACTAATGCACAGATCTATTTCCACATATCAGCTGTTTTGTCCTGTTCTGAAAACATAACTGACTGCGTTTACATCAATTTCGTATCATAAAAGTAAGATGCAAGTGCATTTAACCGCAGCCGCGAGCTTCAGACAAACAAACACAAAGCACACATGAAAGTCTGTCAGTACGTGAGTTTCGTGCATCTAATACGTACTGCATTCCAAACGGCAGAAATAAAAGCATATCTAAAGTAAAAGACTAAAATAACAGCGAGTGGAATCACTGTCAAGCAATGCACACGTGTCTCACAGCGCATATTCTGTGCAGTGAAGCCTGCCGCGTTTGTCTCTAGCGCACACACGTGCCACATGCGGGAAAAAGCCAAGCTCCGATTTAAAAATAGAGAGTGCATTTTTTCAAATGAGAATGATGTCATAGGCTATAATCGATTATGGTCTATTACTGCATCGATGCAGACAATTAGTTTCGACACCCCTATTATATTCTGAAACATTATTAATACATTTCTTATGAACCATGGAAATATGGCAAAAAGTCTATGGGATGTTATCAAAGACACGGTTTTTAATTTTCATCCGGGTCAATAAATGACCCAAACAGAGCACAATGGTCTTTAAAGCAATATTATTATGCTGCTCATCGCTTGGAGTGCTGAATCCAGTGAGAAAGAGTGAACAAAACAGAGAAACAGGGAAAGAGAAGACAGCCAGACTGATAAATGAGACTGCACCTGGCCAGCTGCAGGCAGATGGAATAGACTCCTTGTCTGGTCTCGTAGTCCACCTCAGAGGGGATGGAGTCTCTCTGCATGACGTTAACCACCAGACTGAGACATAGAGAGACAGAGAATGCACCGCTGAGATAATTAATGATTAAAATACACAGCCACATTACGACTGCAGAATTATCAACACGAGGAGCAGTGCAAAAGCGGGTAGAAAGCAGACGGCTACCTGAGACCTCCCGCTTTGAGGAAGTTCTCACAGAAAGATTTGACACTGGTCTTTGCCATTTCATCATCAGATGTGGGCATCAGCTTGGAGCTCAACACCTGTAAGGAGGACAGGGGTCAGTGCGTGAATATAGAAAAAGCCTAAAAATGATTGTTCTCTCAACATATGGTTTTATTTTAAAATTCATTTTTATAACTTTTGCAACCCTGTTACAAAAATGTGGGAATTTATATACATTGGTTTTTATTTCCTAGCAATAAATATAAATAGATAGATACATTTTATTTGGGAAAAGCAGATTTATATTATTTACACTACCATTCAAAAGTTTATCATTTAAAATGTAATTTATTCCTGTGATGCAAAGCTGAATTTTCAGCAGCCATTACTGTCCATTTTGTGTGACATGATGTTTTAGAAATCATTCTAATATGCTTATTTGCTGGTCAAGAAAAAATACACTTATTATTAATGTTTAAAACAGTTGTGCTGCTTAATATTTTTGAGAAAACTGGGATGTATATGTCGAAATAGGTAACAAGGTTGAAAATTAAGCTTTCAATCATCTAGATAGTTTGGGACCAAATGTTGGTTTGTAATTTTTGATAAACTGTTGATACATTTTTTTTTTTATTTGTTTCTAATTACAGCTTTGGTAACAGTTTAATCAAGAAAAATGATTTATATACCTCCAGGTTATAGAGCACTCTGAACGTAGACATGCCAGGGGCAGATGAACGAAACAGAGACTCCAGGATGGACGCTGCACTCTGCTGATGCTGCTGTTTACTGGACAGAGATGGAGACTTTGAGGCCTGAGAACCAGACCCCAGTGTAAACAGAGTTTTCTGATGGAAGAGAGAGAGAGAGAGGGAGTTATTCACTGTCTGCTAGACTAGAGGACACCGTCCTCTGTGTGCACCCTACTAAAAACAAAAACACTGTCACATGACTGTTACAGTGCTCAAAATGCTGAGTCATTCAGCCCGTGTTCAACTCTGACTCTGTTTCACCTAAAGTACCAGTCACACCTACTTATTCTTTACCATTACAGTTTCCAAACAGTAAACTCATCAAAACTATTAAATAATTCCCATAATTAAATTCATGTTATGTATTGACCATAAATGTTACACAGATGAAAAGTACTCTTTTTTTTTTCCAAAGAAATTAACACCTTTATTAAGCAAGGGTGCATTAAATTGATCAAACGTGAGAGTAAAGACATTTATAATCGTACAAAAAATATTTATTTCAAATAAATGCTGAACAGTAGTTTGAACAGTAGTTTAATTTTGTTTTATACAAAACATTTGAAAGTTTTTAAAATGATCAGAAACATCAATTTAACTAGCTAGAAAAAAGTTGAACTTGCTATCTAATCTTGAACTGACACATTTATGCACTTTTCTCCAAGTTAAAGAGTGGCTTTCAGGTACCTGGTGACTCCAGACGCTGGACTCTTTTGGCACAAAGTTATCAAGGGCGTCCTGCACCTCTGGGTCAGTCGGGATAAGCAGCAACAACTTCCTGACACGCAAAGTTATTCTGGACAGGGACAAGAAGGCTACACAGTTATTACAAGTCAAATGAAATCACAAAATACACACAACATATGCCCGCAAAGGGAAAGGAAAAATCAACCATTAAATGAATGAAGAAAAAACAGGTTTACTAAACCATACAAGTGAGTAAATAATGACAATTAAAATTTTGGGGTGAACTATCCTTTTAAGTAATTGCAAAACTTGCATGGGTTGTGGATTGTTTACCTGGGTTCCTCCAAATTGGCGAGCTGATAAAGCATCTCAAAGACATTACACACCAACGCCATGACCACACCAGGAAGAGATTTCTCCTGCAATCACACACATGAGGATAATAAAGTAGGTTGATGAGGTTAATAACTTAGATTTGAGATAAACTACTGTTCAGATCAGGTCTGTAAGGTTTTTTCTTTTTTTTTGATGAAAAGTTACTCTTTTGTAACATAAAAACTGCTGTACTATTTCAAATAAATGCTGTTCTTTTTAACTTTCTACTCATCAAAGAATCAAAAGAATGTTAAGCATCACAACTGTTTTCAACAAAAAGTGTTTCTTGAGCACCAAATTAGCATATTAGAATGATTTCTGAAGGATCATATTACAATTTCATTTATGAATTTTTTTTTTTAATATTACAGTTTTTCATTTATTTATAATCAAATACATTAAGCTTTGGTAAGCATAAGAGACAAAAACAAAAAATCTTACAGACCCTAAACTTTTGAAGGGTAGTGTGTGTATTCTGTATAAAAGTGTGTATATCACTTATAGCTCGATCCAATAAGCATTAGCAAATTGTGTGAGTTGTCAGTCCAGTGAGTGAATGTACCTGCTCCATAGCATACGCGGAGTTAAAGACCCCGCTGCTGCTGGAGCTGGCCGAGGCAGAGCTGTCCGCTGAACTGCCTGATGGAGTGCCTGTTCCTGAGCTCTTCACCGTCAGACTCTGCTCATCAGAGAAACCCAGCTGATTCAACAGCTTCTGGTCACGATTCATCGTCAGCTAGAATTTATAAAGAAGACTGTTAGCATGAATCCATAATACAAACAGATATAGGTTAATATGAAGAGCTTGTTTAATATGAACTTTTATAAAAATGCTTAAAATATTGTTTAAAATGCTTAAAATATTATTATTATTTTTTTTTTTAATGAAACATTTGAAAGTTTTGAAGTTCAGACTTCTGTAGGCAGTTATTTCAAAATGCCCAATTATTGGCCATTTTAGTAACAAATATTTTAACTAAAACTTAAACCAAAACTAAACCTATTTAAAAAACATTTTTGTTAGTGGAAATAAAGATAAAATAAAATATAAATATTAGATGAAAAACAAACAAATACGTGTACCGTTACACCCCTAATATTTAAAAAAACAAAACCTAATAAAATTACAAAGCTAATTCAGACCAATAAAAACTATAATAGTATATAAAAATACTAAAATAACACTGGTAACAATCAACACAAACAAACTATGTTTATTGTTCTCTCTCTATAACTAGGAAAACTAGCCCTAGTTTCAGTTTTCACTGTCATTATCAATAAATAAAATCAAAGCTTAAACTATTAAAAACATTTTTGTTTGATGAACAAAACCTGAAATAAAATGAAATATAAACATTAGATGATAATTAAATGAAAATTAGACATCTTACCTTAGCAACTAACTGAAACAAGTTTAACTAGCTGTAATAAAACTAAAATTGAAATTAAAAAAACGAGCAAATTAAAACTATTTGGAAATATAAAAAAAACGAATAAAAATTACAAAAGCATATGACAGAATTACAAAAAATGTAACAAATGAAAATAAAAATTGAAAACATAAAAATAAAGGCTTATTCAAAATATGAATGAAAACTAAAATAGTACATAACACCAAAATAACACTGGTAACAATAAGCAATACGAATAAAGAATGCTTATTGTTAACTATAATTAGAAATCGGTCTGAGAACCAAGCCTCCACATGCGGTCATAATAGCTGCCACATTCTCACAGAGTGCTGGCCTGTGCTGTAGGAGTGTTTGGCACCTGTGCACCGCTCAGATATGACTGCGACCAATCGCAGTTAGTGTTTGACTCACCATGCTGTCATTGGCAAATATCTGCACATTGTCCACCGGACAGCTGAGCTGCTCGGCTATCTTCCATCTGATGCTGCCTATGGTCTCGTTGCTGTGGGCCTGCACACATTCACATCAACACAAACACATAAGGGCCGTTTCGATTCGTCCATTCAAATCAGGCACAGCAAATTCCAGTCAGTCAGTTGAGTCACGATCATCCAATAGACTGTTGTTTATTAATATCACATTTGGTTTCTCACGCCGAACCTCCACCTGCCATTTATCAATGCTCCTCTATTCTCCAAACAGGGAGAATGTATATCAAGTCTTCCATTTATATCAACCCTGTTTACAGTCTGTCATAAGTGTGTGCATTTGAGTCATGAGCGCCAGAACTGCAAGAAGTGTGCGTGTGTGCATGTGATGTTACCTCCAAGGTGAATGTGTCTTTGGTAGATTCGTAAGTGATGTGAAGTGTAACAGGATGGCCGTGGAAAGACGCTCCATGAGGTAGAATAGTTCGAGGAACAGAATACAGGTCCTGAAACAGATCCAGCGGGACAACAGTCAATACCATGTGACCTGGAAACTCATTTTCCATTTCAAACCAGTGTGAAGATATAATCATTTAAATGCTGGCTGTCATAACATTTTTTACGAAATCAGCTCTACAGATTCAAATATTTTTAGATATTATAAATTTATAATATAAAAAAAATTATTATACATTTTTACTTTCTATTCATCAAAGAATACTGAACAAAATGTATCACAGTTTACACAAAAATAATAATCAGCACAACTGTTTTCAGCATTGATTATAATAATAAATGTTTCTTGAGCAGCAAATCAGCATATTAGAATGATTTCTGAAGGATCATGTGACACTGTAGACTGGAGTAATGATGCTGAAAATTCAGCTTTGCGTCACAGAAATAAATTACATTTTAAAATATATTCAAATTAGTGCTGTCAAACGATTAATCGCATCCAAAACAAAGTTTTTGTTTACATAATATATGTGTGTGTACTGTGTATATTCATTATGTATATATAAATGCACACACATACAGTATACATTTTGACAATATTTTCACATATAGTTATATTCATATAATTTATATTATATATAAATATACACAGTACACACACATATATTATGAGAACAAAAACTTTAATTTTGGATGCGATTAATCATTGACAGTGCTAATTAAAACAGTAAGTAGTTATTTTAAATTGTAGTAAAAAAGAAGTGTATATTAAATAATCAAGACATCAATAATAGGAATAAAATCTAGTATATGTTATTATATTACATATAATATATTAGAATTATTTCTAAAACATATTAGTATACATTATTAAAATATACAAAATGATACATTTGAAAAACATATTATATTAATTATATTAATATATTTTTCCTGCTTACTAACAAGCTATTGAACCACTTTCCTGAGGTAAATGTAACATTAGATGAGCTCCTGCATATTTTACAGCAATAAATCTGCCATTTCAAATCATTTTTCCACGAATAAGCATTTCAATTAATTGGCAAATGAATTCCAGCAATAAGCTACAGAGCTTCATATTACATGATTTACTCAAATTCATAGATTAGACAAAAGTGCTACGGTCCAAAAGCACTTCCTGCACCAAATGTCTGTCAATAACCGACCAATTAGCGTCTGTTAGACTGAACGGGTGTCAAAATGTCTGCCTCTTTCTCTGAATACGTGCAGGAATCAACACCGTATCAGATCTCTTTTGCTGTGTTCTGGTATGATTATTCCTGAATGCACTAAATGGCGTGACAGACTCTATGCCAGATTTCAGCACGGAACTGAACAGCTAGAGAAACGGGGAGACTGTGAATGTTGCAGTCAACCAGTGATCAGATTTCATCATTCCACAGCTGCGAGTCTGACAACTACCTAACACATTAAGAGAATTAATTAGCAAAGTCTGTCGTTCAATGATGTTGCTACATTTGACTTTTACAGCTTGCTGGTTCCTTCGCTGAGACTGACTGATGCTTTCAAACAGAGATCAACTGTAAGTCATTTAAGATAAGTATTAATGCATTAGAGCTCTCACCTCTATTGTGATGACATAACGCTCTGCCAATAACAGAAGTCTCTCAATGATCACTAGTTTACTGGACCTGAGGACAGAGATGGTTATGAACTTCAATACATTTTATGTAATACATATCAATCTTGATATTAAATGACATCAGTCTTGATATTAATGATATCAAACTCTTTCTGAACAACCTTCAGATCAATTAAGACTTTAATATAAAGTCCAATGCAACTAAAGGACAAAGTATTAAATGTGGGATAAATGTAAGTTGTTGAAGATAAAACAAAAACAAATAAAAAATAGAACAAAACAAAACAAAAAATCAACAAAAAAAAACAGAATAGAACAATAAACAGAAATCAATACAACAAAACAAAAACAAACAAAAAACAATAGAACACAAAAAACAAAAATCAATACAAAAACAAAACAAAAACAGAATAGAACAAAAAGAAATCAATACAAAACAAAAAATAACAAAAACAGAATAGAACACAAAAAACAAAAATCAATACAACAAAACAAAAACAAACAGAATAGAAAAAAACAAAAATCAATACAACAAAACAAAAACAAACAAACAAAAAAACAGAATAGAACACTAAAAACTGAAATAAATACAACAAAAACAGAATAGAACACTAAAAACTGAAATAAATACAACAAAAACAGAATAGAACACTAAAAACTGAAATAAATACAACAAAAACAGAATAGAACACTAAAAACTGAAATAAATACAACAAAAACAGAATAGAACACAAAAAATATCAATACAACAAAATACAACAAAACAAAACAGAAGACAAAAAGAAAAAATCAATACAACAAACGCAATACAATAAAAGAAAACAGAAGACAAAACAAAAATCAATACAACAAAAAAGCAACAAAACAAACAAAACAATAACTGTACATAGTCCCTTCTGTTCTAGCTTTGGTATGGTTTAAGTTTAATAAAAGTAATGTAAAAGTGCTTTACTTAAGACAACGAAAATGCAGCCAACAACATCAGCTGGATCTCATCAACTGATCTGAAAGCTGCTCAATTGGCCTCAAAACTAGTCCTCATACCTGGATGGAGATTGCACTGATGTGGCGACCGTTGGCATAGCAGTGGCTGTCAGCATCTTGGTTGCCCGGGTAACAGCATGTGTGAGGGTCGGGCCGCCCAGCGCAGAGCTAGCAGCCTGTGTGTGATGTAAGAATGAATTTTATCACAATCATCATCACAAGGGAGGGAAGCGGGAGTGTGACAGTGTAACACTCACCTCCAATCTCTTATAGCAGTCAGCAATGAATTTCTTATGAAGAGATACTGAGTCCTGCAAAAATTACACAAAGAAAATGTTAATTAACTGCAAAATTATGGAATAGCAAGACTCAAATAATGAAGGTTTGACTGTTTACCTTCTTCATTTTGGGGTTGAGGTTAATGTAGCTGTAAGTAATGATGAGATGTATGGCTTCATTAGCAATGTCCTCGTCTGGAGATTCCATCGCAATCCTCCAGATGAAGTCCATCCCAGCCAGATCCAATCGCTCCACACACTGAGAGAGACAATCATATGTTTTCACCTGTCAAGACGGGATTTTCTGACCCATTTCACTGAGAACAAGCAGAAATCTCATACCAGTTGTGTTCCCTGCCGTTTGAGACGGTGGTCACTGAGGTTCACATTCTCAAAAAAGGTCTTGAAGAGGTTAAACCCTGTAAAACATTGATGAAAGACCACAGAAAACTCACACACTCATAGTACCCCCTTTATGCAACTTCCCCCTATGGTGCTAACAAGGCCATTTTTTTTCTTTTGCAAATTTAGCACAGTAAGCGCAGTGGTTTCCTGCAGATGTACAGGAGACGTGCAATACTTCAAGGTGCTATAATGTGGAAATACTGTGGTTTTTAAGTGGAAGCAGTGAGTGAACTCTTTGGTTGAACTTTTACCGTTCATAGTGATCTCATAAGGCTCCAGCTTGAGGATCTTCTCTTTAAAGAGCTGCTGTTGAACGTCACTCTCTAGATCATGCTGTCCCTTAGTGAACCATTCGAAACACATCTACAGCAAAGTTGAACACCATCAAAACGACATACTTTTTCACAATAACAAAAAATCAGCAGTTAGTGAGTATTTGCAACACCAATTTTTATACCCCGGAACTGAAAAATCATTAAACACACTACATTTAACAAGTTGGTAAAAATAACAAAAAACACAATGGCGTTTAAACTTCAATCCAAAGCATGTGTGGCTTCAGCCGCTTTTCTTTTTAAGGACCATGATTAAACAGCATAATTACATGCAAAACAAACAAAATAAAACAAATAACAAACCAATAAACAAAACAAACAAACAATAGAAGCAAAGCAAAAAAAAAAAAAAAATAAATAAAAATCAAAGCCAAGCCAAACCAAACCAAAACAAAACAAAACAAAACCACACCTCTCGATCCAGCTCGCACACATCCATGCTGGACACCAAGCATTCCCAGATCTCTTTGGCTCTATTCCAGACCAGGTACAGACTGGCCTCTTGCAGGAAGAATGCAAGGAACTTCAAATGACCCTCCAAATACTGGAAAAAAAAAAAAAAGAAAACCCCCCAAAACAAAACAAAAAAACAACAACATTAGATAGATAAAAAAAAAACTACTTCTCTTTTTTCATTCTTACCAAATGAGAGGCAAAACATGAGTCACTTTGGTAGTCTACAAATATATTTTTGTACTGTGCTAATGTTTGTGTCAAACAGCAATATGATTCATCTTTAAAACAGAGGAAATTACTAGACTTTGCTTACACTATCTTAACTAGAAACTAGAAGTCGACCGCCTTTTTTGGATGTTGTAGATGACTAAAAGAATGCATATTTTATTTGCTACATGTTTGTGAACCGCTGGAGGGAAAAAAAATAATTAATACCATATTTTATTGTTATTATTTTCCAAATATGTACCAAAAATGTCAAGGTTCATAGTACTGTTTTTTAATAATTAATTTAAAAATATTTTATCTAATAAAACTTAGATTTGCACTGCTTTACATTATTTGAAATTAAGCTTCTTTCACACCTTAGTACTTGTTATCGGCAAACTCTATTTTTGACTGAGCTGTAATATAAACAATGATTAAATTCTTCGTATCACAAAGAGATAATGGACTTGTGGCAGTGCACCTCCTGATAGGAGTACCGCCCATCAACCAGTGTGGACCCAGAAAGACCATTGGATCCAGCGACGGACACTGCCAAGCGATGACATGACACCAGAGAGCCAGTGATCAGCTTCACTATCTCAAAGTTCTTCTTCAGGTCCTGGATTATACTCTGATACAACATAAAATATAATCCAAAGCCATTTAAAGCATGAAAAATGAGGTTCATAGTTTATGTAGCACCACTTGCATGAAAAAAAAAAAACAGGCCAGATGGTTCATCTGAACACTGTCTACATGTACCTTGTCCTGTTTCTGGTAGGTCTGTTTGATAAAAGACCGTGTAATCTCGTGAAGCTGCCGCAAGGCTGGAACCACCCACACCGTCTGAGGGTTAGTCTGCTGAGACGACTACAATACAAGCACAAAAACACAGATATAAACACCGAAACATCAACCATAACACACATGGTTCATTCATGGAATACGGTAAGCTCCATCTGGGCCAATGACGTATAAATATGTCCACAACTTTCATATGGTTTATTAACGTTTATACCATTTTCAAGAAAAGTTTATATTTAATGACTCTAAAAATGTCATGTGGTACAACCAAAGTAACAAAATAATAAACTTAAAATTAAAAACTAAATTTTTTTTCCAAAATCAAAACATTTACTAAATTATAAATGTACGTTTTTTAGGGGTCGCACCACATGACATTTTATAACCTGAACAAACATTGTCGTGTCATAAAATGGTCAAATTATCATATATTTTGAGAGACTTCTTGACCTTGAGTCATGAGGGTCTGGGGTCCACTCTATGATATCATTTTTTTTAAACATTGTTTTTTTTTTTCTCTGTATGTTGGTTGCACCATATGACTGTCTTCTTTTAATAAAGCCTTTTTCTTAATTTTGATATCAGGACAGTTGTATCTGCCTGACATTTTTGACTTTACATGCCCCCCAAAAATATCAGAATGAATTTGAATTCAGAAAGAGGCATATTTAAGTTATTATATGTGCAAACCGCATTATTTACTTGTAAATAAATTATAAATGTATTTTTAATGAATTATCAGGAAGAAGAAATTAGTATCACGTCATTGACCCATCAACAACCCAGGCATTGGTTAGAGTCTCTGATTTCCAAAAGTTTCAAATAGTCCAACAAAAGACTGAATCCAACAGTCAAAAAGTCATTAGTTTTTCCAATAGATATTTGGATGTGCAGATCAAACCCTCAGAAGTGCCCTTTGTAAATCACACATATCTTTACAGTTCGTCCCAGTGAATCAAGTGGCAATCATCAGTTTGCAAATCAAATTCTGTTCATGTGAGATTCAGGCTGAGTTATGATTGGTCAGTGTTGTGAACTAAAGGGGTGGGTCTTCTCTTACTTTAGCCACTGAGCTCGGTTTCTTCTTGCCCCAGGTGCCAGTAAGAAAAGAGACCTGTGTCTCGCTGGGAGACTTTGAATCCTCCTGTATTTGCATCTAAAGACATAAACTTTCAGTATTCAGTGAGCGCCACTAAGAGTTTATGCGGCAGACGCTGCACCCAAATCACATCAGAGGCTGAAGCGCAAAGATTGAGCAAAGTGAATGCCTGTGTGCATGTATGTGTGTGTGTGAGAGAGATGAGGCAAGCTGAAACTAGACTGCCAAAAATATACATCTAGCGCCAGAGACAGAACAACACCTTTATACTCCCAGAACAGCTCTTAATATAGACTGCTGCACAGATTCTAGCCTGAAAAAGAAGCCAGGAAGCTCAAAAATGTGTGTCATTGTGTTACTGTGTGAGTATTTGTGCATATTTTGTGTTTATTGTCCATAATCTTCTGAATATGGATCTTCAGGAAGGAGCACAAAGCAGATGGAGTAGTACAGGAGATGTGTGTAAGAGTGAGGGACCCTCACTCCAATTCAGACCACCAGAAGCAAGCCAGACAGTGACTTTCCATAACGACAGAACAACAAATAATAGTGACATCATAAAAAATGAATCATATTCATGTTGGTTATTTATCGATATCTGTTTATACACTACAGATGAAGTGAGCAACAGTCTTTGGAGATTGTGGTTTATGGGAATTATGATATCAGCTCACCTTCTTGATGTCCTCGATGCATTTGACGATATAGTTCTTCTTGATGGTTTCTTTGACGGCATATGCGTCGCTGAGGATGGTGAGGTGTTCTTCCAGGGCCTGCTGCACTAGAGTGGTAGGAAGGGTGGGGAGATGCGCCAACTCCCACAACACCTCCAACACCTGAAACAAAAGCCACAAAAAACACAGATACTGTGATTTTACATCAAAATAATTCACAAGTCTAGTGTCAAATTTTTTTTTGTCATGCTCTAAATCTCTCTCTCTCTCTCTATTTGAGATTTATAGCTCACAAAGGCTGCATTTATTTGATTAAAAATACAAAAATACTGTTTGAGTAAAAACAGTCATATTGTGCATATTATTACAATTTAAAATTATGTAATTTATTCCTGAGATGGCTTGAGTTGAGTTGAATTTTCAGCAGCCATCACTCCAGTCTTCAGTATCACATGATCCTTCAGAAATAATTATAATATGCTGATTTGCTGCTCAAGAGACATTTCTTATGACTATTAATGTTGAAAACAATTGTGCTGGTTAATATTTTTGTGATATGCTTTTGTTCAGGACTGAAAATGCAAAAATAGCCTATCAAATATAATTTATTCTAACAAGTGTAAAAGACTTAATTGTCACTTTTGACCAATTAAATGCATCATTAATAAAAGTATTTATTTCTTAAAAAAAAAAAAAAATTGTATTGAACCAAATCTTTTTAAAAGTATTGTAGGTGGTAGCATATTAAATGGTAAGTAGCACATTAAAATCTGCTGTCAAATATAGAAAATAATAACTTGAATAAAGTTTAACCAGACCACCTTCAATTGGCATGTAAAAGTAAAGGAATATATTAAGATTGTATAATTATGCAATATAAACATAAAAAATGTATTTATTTAATATTGTAATATATTACAATATTATTATATCATTAATCACTGTTCTAATATTAACTAATATAACAATGAGGTGGTTTGGGTTTGAAAAAAATAGTGTGAATTGAATGTTTAAATATTTAAATATTATATTAAGTATTTTAATATTCTAAATATGTTCATATATTTATACCCTGAGCAGTGTTTGTTTAAAGACTCATATACATTTTATGTTTATATCCCTCATGCATTTTTTTTTATACATTTTATGATTTAATGCAAAGAAATAATCTCTTAAGGTTAAATAGTTAATTGCAATCATTTTTCCCTCAATCATTCAACGACCGATATTTGAAAATCATCCAATTATTTCAGAAACAAAAAAAATCATTACAGTGCAAACTTTCACAAGCTTCAGCAGTTCTACATCAATCACTGGCTGTCACATTTCAGCATTGTTGCTTATTAGCAGCTAGACCGGTTCAAAGCCCAACTTTCAGTTCAGTTTTAACTGAGAGACAGAAATACACATACAGTTTCATATATACATATGAATGGCACATACCTTTCCTGTGGTTGCCTCAGAGCGAGCCTCCCTGCCGATCCGTCCAATCAGACTCAGAAGCTTCTGTCTCACGCGATCACTCTCCACCTCCCAGCTCTGAAAACACACAAGGCACAGTCAGAAACAGCTCATAAAGATGAAAGAGTCCAAAGGAAGACAGACAAGACCTTCTGTATGAGGACGAAGAGGTGGCTGAGCTGGTCAAAGTTGAACTTGACGGCAGCAGCGGCGATGATAGTGTGGATGTTCTCTATCACAGTGGAGGACTGACCAGCCTGGACATAAAATATGATGCATGTTAACATGTTGCACATGTATAACCAAACCATATAAACTAATTTAAATGGAATTTTTTACATACAGCCCATATAGCTACAACAAACTTTGTAACCTGTTGATGAAATCGCAATGTGATGCCGCCGTTTTAATGACGGACAAAATGCACATTTGCACACATTCGCTGGTCAAAAACCCCGTAACTGCATTTGAGTTTGACACAAAGCGACTGAGTGATCCTCGTCACCTAGGTAAAATATATTTCTAAACAATTTCTTTGATTTATGTTTGCTGATAACTATCCACCTTTTTCTTCAACGCTGAAGTAAGCCTATGGGCGAGACTTCCGGTTCATTAGCCGCTATAGGTAAATAACGAGAAGAATAACAACAATGCAGTAAACGGTAAAACTGTTTGCACTACAAACCAGTGTGTTCATAATTAAGATAATACACTAAAATAATATGGTAAGACACACCATTTTTTAATATCAAGCAGCAAAACAAACTGTTTTGTACAGCTCCACAGTATCAAGTTTTTGCCAGGTAGGCGGATACATGTTGGATATGCTCTATAGTGACGGTATGGCTATAGTTTTATAATCTCCTATTTTGTCTGGAATTGTGTTGGACATAATTATTTAAATTATATTTCAAAATAGTTTGGCAAAAATACTTGACTCATTGCTTTACCTTCCCCTCTTCTCAATGACATACATAAACATGTTATAATACAAATTAACTTGTAAAACCAAACAGAATAGCTAAAAAATTTTTTTATTGCACTCTGGTCTATATTATTATTATGGTTATTAATAGTGAATAAATCTAAAGCTTTTGAGACTATAATTTTGCGTTTGCCCTTTTTCAGTTTCAGCACATGCCCCTCAAAAGGTCTGTGCACGGTCCTGCTTCTTTCCTAATTTCTTCACTTGAAAGAGATATTTTGAATTTGGACTGCAGTAACATTACCCATTTAAACCGCTAGCTGTCAGCAATTCTTACTGCACTTTTAAGCTTGTATTTTGACGGAAACGGCAGTAGAGCTTTTATTTTGAAGGAAAACTCCAGCTTCAGTGAAAACAGGTTTACAAAAATGCATTTCACTACAAATCTAGTGAAATGCTGTAATCATCTGCCACGAAAATAAAGCATAACTGGTGGCCGTTGGATTCCCAAACACGCGCTAAACTCACAGCACATGCAATAAACGAGTTCACTGCATTCACTGAGAACTGAGCCGTTCTGAGGCGCGGAAAACACCGGATCACGAGCTGATCGTCTGAACAATGTGTGCGCATCACTTTGAAACGCGCAGCAAAAACAGACTTGATGAAGGGATTAAGCCATATTGTGCTTTCGGTTTTATTTTGTTTGACAGCATAATGGACCAAACCACAAATTTAAAGACCTTTTATGTTAGAATAAGAAGTTGAAATATTAGCGCTGTCAATCGATTCAAAAAAATTTACTAATTAATTGCACATTTATTCGCGATTAATCCCACCTAACAATAAAGTTTTTAAATATACTTTTATATTGCAATCATTTCACATTCAATCTTCAAATTAATGTACAAACAACATAAACAGTACATTTTTATATATTTGTTTAATGGCATCTTTTTTTATGACTGAAGGCCAGTATCACTGATACCAATATATGTCTCTATATAATTGTTTTTCCCCCCTAATATTTAACCATTGACTATAGCCATTCAACATTACAGTATAATTGAGAGATATCAATTTTAACATTTATTAGACTTTAAAAAATTACTTCTAATTTAAGTGAACTTAAAACAATCTTCACATAAACCCATTATAATCAACCATATTTACCTGTGCCCTTCAGCAGAAATATACAGAAATTGAATAAAGTTATCAAACACTAAATTCTAAATTAAATATAGATGAATCCTTGAAGCTATAAAAGTTATTGATTTTTTTTTATTTGATTAACAAACATAACAGCAGCCGGTTATTAGGTTATTTGGCTGCTATTTCTTTAAGAGCTGCCGCTGCTGAACGTGACGCAGATCTGACATGCATTGTATTTTCTCTCAAATCTCTTTACCTTTACTGACCCACTTCAGGTCTTAAAGTCTCTACTAATGAACTGACGAGTTGAATTGGGTGTGTTAGATGAGTGAGACTGAGACAGTGCTGGGCTGCTCCAGGACAGTTTTGAAAACCATTTCAGAGACAAGTTCTTAAATGTGACTCATAACATATTACATGCATGCACAGTTTTAAGGCAGCTTTAATCGCCTTTTTGGTATCTTCATGACTTAACTGACGACATTGCATGCATGTAGTTTCATTCGTGCTTTGAAATGATACAGGCTACAGTGCGCACCCGTGCCTATGTGTGTGCTATTGAAGAGCACGCGCTACGAGAACAGTACCGCTTCTGCGCTCGTTTGACTTGCGCCTGATGCTGAGGTGAAGTTGGAGAGCACATCTGAAACGTCTCTGGTTTGATGTGGTCTTAAAGACATTCTGCAACTAAATAAATGCACTTCTTGCCAAGAAAAAAAAGAGACAGAGGCAGCAGTTGTGAGTGGGGTGGTCAACCCTAGCTCTGCCCCCTGCGTTAATTATGTTAAATATTTTTAACGCGTTAAAACTGAAAAAATTAATAGTCTGCGTTAACGCGCTAATTTTTTTGACAGTGCTATTAAATATTTTTTCAAAACTACACTTTTTGCCTGGAAGACCTATTGTTTCATATCGTCATGTGACCACGATGATATCGAGACAGTTTTGCTATCGCGATACCACAGTATTGATAATACCGTTACATCCCTAATATATTAATTAGTTATGAAAAATAACGCAATTATATATATATACACACACACACACAAATAAATAAATATATATAAATAAATAAATATATATATATAGACATTGAGAGCCTTCTGTGCAGTATATTTCTTAGAAACAATGTCAGAAATTCATGCAGCTTAGAAGGAGCACTGATTTGAAGAATATCTTTAAAGACACCGCTCACCTGTATTTTCCATATTTTGGAGAGTTCATCCAATGAGAGCTTACTGCCCAACAGCTCAATGATTCCCTTTATTCTGTCACAGTACTGGGCCTGGTCAATGTTTCCTACATCACAGAGAGAGAGAGAGACAGAAAAAATATTTTATTTTATTTATTTATTATTATTTTATTTTTAATAAAAACAGGTTACACTTTATTTTAAGGTGTCCTTGTTACAGTGTAATTATACATTTAAATGGGTCATATGATGCGATTTCAATTTTTCCTTTCTCTTTGGAGTGTTACAAGCTCTTGGTGCAGACATTGAGAGCCTTCTGTGCAGTATATTTCTTAGAAACAATGTCAGAAATTCATGCAGCTTAGAAGGAGCACTGATTTGAAGAATATCTTTAAAGACACCGCTCACCTGTATTTTCCATATTTTGGAGAGTTCATCCAATGAGAGCTTACTGCCCAACAGCTCAATGATTCCCTTTATTCTGTCACAGTACTGGGCCTGGTCAATGTTTCCTACATCACAGAGAGAGAGAGAGACAGAAAAAATATTTTATTTTATTTATTTATTATTATTTTATTTTTAATAAAAACAGGTTACACTTTATTTTAAGGTGTCCTTGTTACAGTGTAATTATACATTTAAATTCTACATTTAAATTACTCAGTAATACTACTGAGTTACTTGCATGAAATTATGCATAATTTATTTTTATTACAATAGTAAGAACATGTAACGTGTAACAAGGACACCTTAAAATAAAGTGTTACCTAAAACCATTATTCTCATACAGCACTGGATGCAATAAAAAAATACTCCTAAAATAAGAGTCTAGCTCCATTATAAACCCACTAATGTAAAAACGTCAAAGTTTTCCATCCCTTGTAATCACATTTACTAAAATTTTAAATCAGACATGAAAAAAAAATTATATTTTTTTCCTTTATTACCCTCAACTTTAGAATTGGTACTTTTATAAACCGAAAGTTTAGCTTGATTTTTTTTTTTAATCTGTAAAATCTCAGCAACCCAATACTAAGACACCCTCCAAAAAAATCATTATGAACATTAAATACATCAAATAACATCATACATTTATTATACAGTTCAAATTCAAAACATGGTTTCTTTCATTACACAAAAAAGAACAAAGTCCATTTAGAAAAATAAGAGAGAGAGAGCACAAGTGAAAGACAAAGCTAGCAAAAAAGGCAAAGTGAAAGTAAAACAAAAAGAAAGCGAAAGGAAGAGTGCAAAGAGAAAGTAAACCAAACTAAGGTATTAAAGTGAAAGAGAGGAGCAAAAGAGAAAGTGAAGGGGGAAAAGAGAAAGTGTCAAGAGAAATGCAAACAGAACAAAGAGAGAAGAGACAATGAGTCGAATAAAGACAATTGAATAAAGAGATGACACAAATGAGTGGGTGAGGTGAAAAGGCTTCAAGCACAAAGCAACAGTTTGAGCTTCTGGCTTCTGAACACTTTAACACATAGATGATTCGCTCAGTGTGAAAGTGTGAGCGTCCATATACACAAGACACATTTATGTACTGCCTTTGGTTTCCAATCCAAAAATATTAATAGATTTGTCATAGTTTTTGTCATTCAAACGGGCATTTATTTAGTCATCATCTGGTTTTCGTCGGTGAAAAACTTTTGTGGATGAAAATTGTGACAAACATTATTTGTTCATAAAATTAACATTGATTCTAAGCATGCGTTGTTGTTTTGTCGACTGCTGCTTTAAATGCACAATGCTAAATTATGTCTAGGGCTGAGTGATAAATTATTATCGTGATCAATTTTTTCATATCAGTCAATATTGATAATCATCATTTATTTCTTTCAAGTTTAAAGGCAGATTTTTTTTCCTAAGTGAAATTTGAAGAAACCAGACTGTTAATTGTGGTTTTAAGCTACTCTTTATAGTCAGAACATGACAAACACTTCACGCTTTTGAATTCTTTGCACTTTTCCAGTCATTTTTCCTTAACAAAATAAATATCTTAATAGAAAAATGCATTTTTTAGCTTCTGCATGTTCTAACGAGTAATATTGTTTCAAACGCATATCTTCAGCGCAGTTGAGCAGTGCAGGCTGCAATATTAATAATATAACTTTTTTGGTCTCTTAGAAAAAAAGGACATTTGACAGTAGCTTGAGTTAGGATGCAGAGGTAAATTTATGTTCATTATCAAAAACAGCAACTCTATAAAAGATATTCTGTTTTTTGTATTATTTCCCATGTATGGCCTGTTGGTAAACCTATATGAAAGCAAATGACTAACTGTTAAACTGAATCAGGGACTGTCTTACCTTCCAAAGCTATTGACAGTACTGAGTTTTCTACCAGCCAGTCCAGGAGTCTGTCTGTGTCAATGGCGTTCTTCACAGTCTTGGAAACTGTGCTTTCCTCAATGAGTTTCGTGACCTATCAGAGCACAAAGCCGTCAACATGAGGGAAGAACTCAGGCGTTAACTTTAAGCTCCAGAGCACTAATATGAGGAAAAGAATTTGAACCTCTTTGAGGGAGTTCATCTTGGCACTGAAGTGGGGCGTCTTGAGCATTCGAAGAAGGATGTCCAGCCGAAGGTCATCCACGACGTTCACCAGCTCCCGCTGGAAACGCATGCAGAGGAGCTTAATGGCCGACAAGAGCTCTGGAATACTCACCAAACGCTTTAGAGAGAAAGAGACATGCATAAAAACAACCAGGGTGAGTTAAAGTCTCTCAAACATGACAGAAATTTAAAACAGAATGACATTTTAATCATTTAAAACATGGTACTTAATCCAGATGAAAAACGCAGAACCTATGCAAATAAACAACACTACATTTTGTAAATAATTTTCACTCTGAGGATGATGTAATAATCATGAATAATCATAAACAAACACTGAATGTACTTTTTTATTTATGAGGGTACAAAATGGTTTGTAATATGTGTGAAAAACATGTTTTAAAACAGGTTTGCTATTTTATATTAAAACATAAAAATTTAAAATACTTCCATTAAATATATTTCAACATTTAAACTAAATACAAATGACATCTCTAAAGTTATGAAACTCTAACACTACGTCACCAAAATGCATGCAGGTGCCTTACCTTGTCTTTCAGGTCTTTCTCCTCCAGGTTCTGCACATATGTTATCATCTTATGGATGACTGGGTCCAGCATGGGCTACAAAATACAACAAAACCAACCACTTTAAGCTGAAGGTCACATTGCAGAATGCCCTTGAAATTTCTCTGGTAACCACTGTTAAAAAACATGTTGATTCAAATGTATTCTTTATGAGTCAATAGCACATATCAAAGCTATGTCCTTTACCAGGTACATCTGATTATATAAACAAAATATCTAAGGTTCAACTACATGTAACAGGAAAGTATTGAATAATGCACTGTCAGCTGGTCATAAGACCAAAGTAAACCCAGACAGGGTGATCAAGAGCCCATAGTTAAGCAGATGTTAACACGCTACTTTCCAAATAAGTAGATAAATAGACACGAAATGTTTATTTGTTGATTTGATGATTTATAAAGTGAAAATAATGTAATCTATCTGTCTGTCTATCTATCTCTCATACCAGACTAGACATATTTGTGAGAGGGTAGTTTTTAAAAAATGTATGTCTTCTTGAACACCTAGCTTATCTAAATTTGACTAGTTCATCTAGACAAAAATAAATACAAAATGATAAACTTGTCAACCTAATTAGCGACTTGAACACATAACTTCAAACCAATCAGAATCAAGTATTCCAGGGTAACAAAACGTGAACAGATGAACCGCGGAAACACTCACCTGCACCAGGCTGGAGTTGAGGTACTCTGCACACACACCGAGCGGCTGAACCAGAGCGGATACACACTGAGGAAACACACATACACACATGTACATTCTACTATGAATGTTACCTCGAAAACAAACTTGTATAAAAAAAATACACAATTTTTCCCAGCTAAAAACAAAATGTTTCTCTAAGCTGGAGACAAGACACAGCAACAAAGAGTACGCAAACTCTTAAAGGAAAAGTTTGACAAAAAAAAATAAAATTCTGTCATCATTACTCACCATCATGTTGTTTCAAACCTGTATGACTAACTTTCGGGAGTGGATCAACTGCCATTGTATGGAAAAGAGCCATGAGAAGATTCTTTAAAATTTCAGCATACAGGTTTGGAAAGACATGAGGGTCAGAGCATGAGCAAATGATGACAGATTTTTCATTTTTAGGTAAACTGTTCCTTTAATGACACCACAGAGGCACCCGATTAAAGAGTGAAAAACAAAATCAGGGATTTTTATACAACATTTACACAACATTGATGCCAGCACTGATGAATCACTCCTCTGTTCAGCATCAAATGACTTCTCATCCATTGGAGAGAGTGAATGAATTAGTCCAGTCAGTGGAGGAGGGGAGACAGCATCCATCTCTTGTTTTCTCGCTTTAATTGACTCTTACCCTCACAACAAATTAAATGGTTACTGTAGCAGGAAATCCCTTTATGTTTGAGATTAAAACATAGCTGGCGATGAACCAGCAGAGTTTCCTTTACGTGGCCAAAGCAGGTTGTATGTGTCCCTGAAAAGAATTCCTCCCCCTACGCTCGCCTCCAACTTCCTGTTCCTGTGTTAAGGCCATTAATATGCAAATCCTAAATCAAAGCATCTTTTCCCTGTCACCAGCTCTATCTCTCAGCCCTGGCACCCAGATCATGCTAATGCACACCTTCAAAAGAAAAGCGGGCGGAACCAAAAACAAGGCGGCTTCACAGCTCCAAGACAAGGGGGAGCATTTACACGCTCGTACTAAAGAAGGAGCGGACACCTCGTCTGTTAAAAATAATGAAGCCGTCAAACATTCGAAGAATCTGTCTGTCTTTTTTTTTTTTTAGACATTTCTGAGATAGAGATTAGACAAAATAAGAGATTAGAGGAGGAGATTAGATATTTCTGAGATTGAGATTAGACAAAACAAGAGATTAGAGGAGATTAGACATTTCTGTTTTTTTTTTGGTCTTCTTAAACAAACATTAACAACAATGGTAGAAAATTTTAAACCAAAACAAAAAATCTAAGCCAAAAAACAAAACAAAACAAAAAAGCTAAGCCAAGCAAAACAAACAAACAAACAAAAAAACTAAACAAAAATCACCAAAAACAAAACAAAAAAATCTAAGCAAAACAAACAAACAAAAAACTAAACAAAACTTACCAAAACAAAAACCAAACCAAACAAAAACATGACATGACAGACAAATGTTTGACAAAAAAAAACATTTTTTTTTTACTAGATTATCTAGATGAAAAAAAAAAAAATCTAGATAAATCTAGATAAACTTGTGTATCTAATGAATTGATTCACTGACTCACAATCAACTTGTGTCGGTTGTTTGACAATTTATTGATCATCCCATCTCTCTCTACCTTCTATGTGTTTATCTATCCATTTGTCTGACCCTATAAAACATTAGTTGGTGTTCGAGAGCTGTGGTTTAATTTTTTGCCATTATCCCACTAATTCAATTTTTTTTCTTTTTCAGACAACCACATTACATCAAAGGGCTAGATGAGAAATAGAGTTTAAAAACAAATTCTGTTCGTGCATATCTTAATAACTGGCCTGAATGTTCTTTTTTTCCCCAGCCATATGAATGTGGCATCTCATGTTCTCTCTCATCCCCCTGCTCTAGTCTCTTTCTCACTGTCTGCTGTGAGTAGGATGCTCTCTGTGATGGTGATAAACATCCTGAGCTCTTTAGCACACATGCTATAATAGAATCTGCCCTCGTTCAACTCACTCTCTCTCTCTCAGCATCTCACACATACTGCCTCTCTTCATCCAGACACCACTACTTCACTCTCTTGCTCTGATGGATTATCCATGAATTATCCATTAATTTCTCTGCAATTCCATTATTATGCTTACAGGTCCCTCAACCCAAAGATAGCCTGTCCATAGCCTGTCCTGCTCGTATCTAAGATAGCTAAACTTGTAGCCTGTACCGAGTGTGCAACCAACCAAAATCTCTTTTGCATTTAAGGTGTGGTATAAGGTTATTATTTTGCTAAGAAATCATTTGAGAAAATAACAGAACATTGGCAGAGTTTAGATTTACATCTACAATAAAAAAGCCACATCTGTGTTTACACAGAAATCACAATTACGGGAAACAATTTTTTAGCTCAGTAATTTCTGCCGCTTGATTCTAAACTGAATATAATTCTGTCGCATTCATTGTAAATTGTAAAATCAAGTCACTTCACAAGGGATGCACCAAAATTTGGCCTGACACAGATAAGCCAATAATTAGAATTATTATAATAATATCAACAGTAACTCTCCCATATTTATTGGCCTTGGGCATATGCCATAAATAAAAATTACAATTCTACTCTACATCAGTAACATTCAAAGACGTCCAGAGTGCACATTCTTACCCCAATCTCTATCTCTTCCTGGTTGAGCTTGCACTGAATTGCTGTGAAGCCTCCCATCTCTCCAAACTGCAGATATAAGCCAGAAACATATTCAGAGTCATTGAACACCACATACATTTGTCTAATATAATATAACATAATATAATATAATTCCTTCCATCAGTGTGTGTTACTTAAGTTCTTACCCGATTCACTAAGTCTACCAGCCAGCCGTGAGGTTCCTGGTCCAATTAGAACACAGAACATAAATTTCATGCAATGTAGAATTTTTTTTCTTTTATGCAAGATGTTTCTTTGCAAGTTAAATAATTTTATCTTATGAGAATATACTAAACATTGTGGTGTAAAAACATGAATGAGTCCTTATTTCTATGCAGTTAAAGGGGTCATATCAGGGTTGCCAGGTTTTCACAAGAAAACCCGCCCAATCACTACTCAAAACTAGCCCAATCGCATTTCGAGGGGGTCCCCAGTTAAAAATCGTTCCGGGGGGGGGCAAAATACACGTTTTTTGGTGGCGTTCCCCTGCTAAAATTCACATTCCAGGGGATAAATATCATGTTATTGGAGTCGCTTCAACCCGCGGCAACAGTGTTAAAGTAGCCCAATTCCGCGGGAAAACCGCGGACTTGGCAACACTGGGTCATATGACGTTGCTAAAAAGAACATTATTTTGTGTATTTGGTGTAATGCAATGTGTTTACATGGTTTAAGGTTCAAAAAACACAAAACAATTACTTTCAACATACCATACAATATTGTTGCTCCTCTCTGCACCGCCTTTCTGAAACGCGTCGATTTTTACAAAGCTCATCGTTCTGAAAAACGCAGTGTGCTCTGATTGGCCAGCTATCCAGTACGTTGTGATTGGCCGAATACCTCAAGCGTGTGACGGAAATGTCACTCCCCTTTCCTTATTTGGAAACACACAGCACCTCCA